TAAATAAATAAAATCTTTTAAAAAAAAATAAATAAATAAATAAATAGCATGGATATATTTGGTAAAAGATTGATAAAAATGTAAACCATCTGATAGGTAAAGGTGTTTTAGTCATAATCCAGGGCTCTCTTTGAAGGTTAAAAAAAAAAAAAACTACCTATTATTTGGCCGGGAAAGAACTTCTGATCTATCTCTCTGCTAAGCATCATTATGGGATGTCAAGTGCCAATTGGGACAGTTTGGGGAGAAAAAAGAGCTCCATGAATAGCACTGGCCATTCTTTCCCTGTGGTGCCAGTATGTATGGAAGATCCTGGAAAATCCGGTAATCCAGGCATCACCGTTGTTTCTAAGGAAAAGTCCAGATATGCTTCCTTCACTGGTTGTACTTATTCAAATATCAACTTAAGAGACCGTCCTCAGCTTTTATTATATGTGACTAAGTACAAAGGAATTCAGAATTTCAAGTACAATTCAGTTTGGGTCTGAAACTCATGGCTTGTGGTGAGGATGTGAAGCTGAGTGTCTCTGAAAATATGGGCCAGAAACAAACATCAAAAGACAGTGTTCATTTTTCTCTGAGGCCATGTGCCATAGGCTTCCCGAGCTTTGCCTGAATAATAAGGAAGTACTCATTTTGATATTCAACAAATACTTACTGAGGGTCTATGACATGCAAGGAATCATGCCAAGAACCATCAGGGATATAGGAGGATAGCAGTTATTTAGCCTTTAAAGGGAGCTTACAACTTAATTAGCGACATAAAAACATACAGACATAAAATTTCCCTAGGAGACCATTTACGAGAAGCATATCTCAGGTAAGGGAGAAACTGCTTTCAGGTAGGCTGATCTGGGACATCTTCAAAGACAGAGAACCTGAGTAGAAGCATGAAAGGCGGCTTGAGCTGGGAAGAAGAGTATCCTGAGTGGTACCACAGGTATGATTCAAGGCAGGAAGGAATTAAAACAGATGACCTGGTTGAGGGTGAGAAGCAGGGACTGTGCTGATAAGTCAGCAAAGCTGAAAGAGGTCAGAGAGTGAAGGTCCTTAACTACTAGGCTGCACACTCTGGAACTTGAACTTTACTCTAGAGAACTGGACTTCGAAAGAAGTCTTAGCAATCGTTAAATCCAGCAGTTATCAAACCTATTCGTTTAAAACAAGAAAATCCCTTATTTAATGGATATTTTACACAGAAGCTAACACACCACCAGGTAAAAGCAGAGTTGCCTGGAGTGTGCATGTGAGGGGCAGGGAGTGGGAGGCGAGGGTCCTTTCCCCCTCAGCCTCCCCCTTCTCACGGTTCCCCTCTCCCACCCCAGCAGCTCTGGAGACCTTTGCTGCACCTGAAGGATCCATGCGACACAGACTAAAAAGCCACTAATTTCCAAATCTTAATGGAAAACTACCAGAGGTTTTTGAGCATTTAATCAAAGCATTATTTTAGAAAGATAAATCTGACAAGATGGATTGTAGAGAAGCCAGGAAGCAGGGAGACCAATTAAGAGATTATTGCAAAATTTCAGACCTAAATTAACACAGGTCCCAGGAAATGACAGAAGGTTTGACACTTGCATAACTGCAAAGTTAATTTATAGACTGAGAATATCTGTATGGGCTCCTGGATCATCCCTCTTTCTGGGAGGTAAAAATCCTAATACAAGACCACAAGGTGCCTCTTTTCTTGAAGAGAGTGCTCAACTGTTTAATAAGATGTAAAGGTACATTTTACATCAAGTGAGAAATTATTAGTCCCCCTGAACAAAAGCGTTTTGGAAGATGTTTGTTATGGAACTGATTTACAGGAATCAGGCACGCTCTTTAGAATTAAACCTACCTACGCATCTGGTACCATCAGGAGAGGGGTAAAAACCGGGAGGACATTTGCAAAAATAACTGCTGACTGTGTTCGTACATTCGCCCCCATCACAGATTCCAGGAATGGTGCTGCATTCATCAATATCTGGAATGTAAAGAAGAGTTTAGTATTCACAGAACACAGTATAAAACTGTTCATCATCACAAGGTTCAGATATAATGCCAGTCAAACTGATCTCTACAGAACAAAAGCTGCATATAAAATAGTCAATTCAAAAAGTGAGTGCTTCTTCTCTCAACACAGGCTTACCCAAGGAACTTATAAACCTCAAGAGATTGGAGCAAGATAATAGAAACTTCCCCTGTAAAATCTAAACTATGTACTGTTTTACCAAGTAACGATAGCAGGCTAATATTCCAAATTTCATTTGGTTTAAAATTTTGTTTTCCCTGTTCTCTCCATGTTTTGCATTGAGTTAGGCTCCCTTTATGTTTACTCTATATTCTGCATGAGTTCCTGTGTTTCTTCGCAATCTGATTTTCCACAAGCAGATACTGAAATCCTATAGAGAAGAGCATGTGGTCTGTGCTGACCACGAGAAATCGTGGTGTTCTCAGGGGCACCCACACGGCCATGATGATGGTTTTCTGTAGGTTCAGTGAGTGAATTGTGGGGGACACTGGGACCCTCCACCCAGAACCCTCTCAAGGGAGGACTTGTTGACTTAGCATTAGGGGTACTATCAGTAGACAGCCTCTGGTTCTCAGCTCCTTCCAGGTCTGCTTGAGCTGCAGAGAGCCACCTCACTTGGGACTATCTACACCCTTCTCATGAACCCACACCAATGACTGATCGTGGAGGCGAGAGAATGGTCTGGTCATCTACCCCAGTGGGGACAACTCTGAAAACCACTCCAATTCCTGAATACCCTGTGAAGTCAGTGGAGGCCATAGTCAGGGTTAGCCTGAGGCCTGAGAAACAGTTCCTTCAAGGGGAACTTTTCAAGAACCAGCTTCAGACACTGACAGTTGTCAATAGATGTGCCACCAGCGAGGGGAGAAAAGAAATTGAGAACTTCCTGCTTAGGCTAAAAGTGAACTCAGAGCACAGGGTATCTGCATGACCTTGACTCCAAGAGGAGTGGGCTTTCTGCACTCACCTAGGGACAGATGCATTTTGACCCAAGCCCCCTGGGAGTATTGCAATGGCCAGACTACATCATTGGCACTCGGAAAGCCCTAAATTTTAAAAAACAAAGAATATTTCTTCTCCAGTTTAAGTACTGCTCTTCACTTATAAAACAAAATAGAGTTCTAAGTGGACCAAATTCAAGGGTCTTCTGACTCAAGATCACCCTGTTAGTCAAAAAGGCAGCAGTGACATTGTTTACGTGCAGTGTAACCTTTTTAAAAGCAAAATCCTCATTCTTCTATGCTAGGCTAGAGGCTAAAGCAAACAATATTCCCCTGCTTATATTAGAGTCAATGCTAACATAAACAGCATTGTCATTGTGAAGTTGTATAATGGTAAAGATGTATATTCTATTCCGACAGATAGACATTTTACTGGAGTGGGTGAAAGTCAGGCTGAGAAACAGCCAAGGACGGAGCCTAAGGTTCTAGAACTAGCATTATATCAGAAGACACATTTTAAGACAGTTCTTTAGCATCAATCCTCCTGCACTGACCAGCCACACTCCTACTTAAAAACTAACAAGGTGCACCTGGGAGGCTCAGACAGTTAAGTGCCGGGCTCTTGATTTCGGCTCAGGTCATGATCTCAGGGTCCTGGGATCGAGCCCCTTGTCAGGCTCTGCGCTGAGTGTGGAGCCTGCTTGAGATTCTCTCTCTCTTAACCTCTGCTCCTCCCCTAGCAGGCACACAGGCTGCCTCTCTCTAACAACAATAACAACAACAACAAAACCAAGTAAGTCCAGCCTAAGGGATTCAACAACCTCATTCAAGGATAGAAGAAGATGTATCCCTGGAACACAAAGGTATTAAGAAGAACATACCTTCCTCAAATTGTCCCTAAAGGTTAATGTCTGGGTCACTGAACTCCTATCAAAGAGCATATGAAGAAACAGTGTTTATTAAAAGAAATATTTTTCTACCTGTTAGTATAAATGACTGCTACCATCCTATAAGGTCACTTATATCAATAACCAAAGAGGTTATTTAAGTGACAAAATATACCAGAAAAAGTTATTTAAAAAACAGAATGAGCTGGCAGGTCCAAGGAGACACTTTTCACATGCTGGCTAGGTCAGATTTGGCTCCTTTACTGAGATGATAGCAACAACAAGAATAATTAGAGCTGACAGGTATTGAGCACCAGGTATTGATTAAAGGTTTCATGTGTGTCAACCCATCTAATCCTCACAGTATATGTATGAGCACAGGACTGATTTCTATAATTCTGGTGCCCAGGCATAGCTCTTGCGTTACGCTGAGACCTTCTGAAAACCAGCATGAGTAAAACTCAAAGTAAGAGCAAAGAGGCTCAATTACAAAGTGATGTGAGACCCAAGTCTCCAAGTGCCAGGGGCTGGGCAGTGGGGAGAGGGGCAGCGATCCCACTAAGAGCCCCTAAAAGAGCAAGTAGCCATCAGATATATATGTCATCATTTCAGAAAGGGGAAGTCTTAAGGTTTTTGGCCATGTATTAGGGAGTGCACAGATTAAGAGCTACATTTTTGAAAAGTCCTTTGCATCATGCAGTGCTATTATAATTGCTAAAGGCTGGGCTGGCGATAATCTAAATCCCAAAATATTAGTGGTTAATTAGGAATCCAAGGGACTTCTTCCAGAAATAAAACTTAATCCTTTAATGACACTTTTTATTTCTTAATTTCCTCCCACAGTAACCTATGCAAATATGGCCTTGGTTTCCGAAAAGAAAAGCCTCATGTGTTCGTTCAGTGTGCACACTCGAGAGTCATTGGAAAAACCAACAGTGAAGGTGGGCATGAACTCTGTTTCCCTTTTTCTCAAATCATAGCTATAAATCTTAATCTTTTCTTCTTAAATTTATGAAAATGTAGTAATTGTTATTTAACCACTTCAGCTTGTTAATTTACATTTCGTATGAATCTAAATTGCATGCATTGATACAAAACTTAGTCCGTGACTTTTTTAAGTTTCAGGGAAAGGGGATATTTTAAGAAAGGAGAATTCTGCAAAAGGAAGATCTCACAAAAAACTGCTCTTACCATCACTGAGGGAGTGAAGGTAGCATCCTGTAAATTTGCTAAAGCCCATTTTTGATTGAATTGGTTTTTTAAATAAATTACTGTGGGCTTCCAGGTATCCAGTCCCTTCCTTTCCAAGTCAAGAGGAAGATGCATTCCAAAAAGCCACTCAAAGTAATGGCAAAGGTGCCAGAATGATTTTCACAAAGTCACAGAATCCCACTGTGGCCTGCCCATCTTCCTAGAGCACACAGAATTTCTCTTCATCCTTTCAGTGGTGTGGGCTAGATTTTCTGGAATTCCTTCTATTGACCATCCTATCAATCATCCTATGCCCAGAGTTACGACTTTCCCATAATGAGGCATGGAGCTGGAGAAAAGCAAGGGAGTGCTGAAGGAGGAGACTCAGCTTACCAAGCATTCTTGGAGGACTTTCTGATTACTCTCCTACCCCAGTAAGACAGGGCAACAATGCCCAAACCAGCTTCCAGACCAGAGTACATGTAGTACTAACGGGACATTCTCTTCCAGTCTCAATTTTGCATAAAAAAAAATAAAAAGGGAGGGGAAAAAAACCCATCATCTGAATTTAATGTAACCGTAGATGGCTAAGGAAAAAAAAAAAGGTCTAGCCAAAAGTATGCTGTTTTTATCTTGCTACTGATTTCAATATGTAGCCGGAAAAAAAAATATTTGTGAGAAAGGATTAAGTAATTCTCAGACTAAATTTTTTGTCCATTGGACACACCACCATAATAGGCTTCTTAGCATTAACAGGAGGATTTTGAATGAGTTTTCTTTCAGTCTGAGTATTAAATCTGTGCATCTTCTGTCTTGTTCACAACCACACAAGGTGATCCATCCTGACCCACGTTAACTGACAGGTCTGAGGGAAAGGCAAGGGACACAGGAAAACAATTTTGCTCCAAGCTGGAAGCTACTGAATTCCAGAAAACAATGAAGACTGGACAAACCATATGGACCATACTGCCCTAAATCTGAAAGCTGACTATATCTAAGCTGAATATATCAAGCTGAGAAAGCCTGAAAATATAAGATGCAACCCACTGCTGATGTGGATTTTGCATGCTATTATAAACCTAACAGCTTATTAATGGCATAAAAGACACATAAAGGGTACCTGAAAATCTATACTATATTTCAAAATTTTCAAAATATTAGCAAATATAATTAAATATTAATATTAGAGGTTATGGCTTATATCCAGGAAAGAAGATGATATAATATGGTACAACAAGTACCAGAGTGTGAATCAAAAGAAGTAAATTTTGCACTATCTAAATGACTTCAAACAGGGCACTTAACATAGCCAGTTCCTTAATTTATAACGTGAAAGGGTGCAAATAGGTAAGTTCTTTACCCCATTCAGCATCAACATTCTCTGCTTCTAACTTAGATCTACAATATAACTCCTAGAATACATCGGGCTGTAAGAGTCAAATTTATTGTTCTTTGAAACTTAAAATGTTTTTAAGAAGTCCTCCTTCCTTAGAACCTGAGTATTTTTCACAGCTACCTCAACTGTATATAGCATGTTCAAGAATATATCATTATAAATTCTATGATGATTAATAACTTAAAAACAACTCTCACCCATAAAGATAATTCTAGCAGAGTCAAATTTCAGATTATTCAGTTTCAGAGCAAGTAGATATTAAACTTCTGTGTAATTTATGAACTGCACCTCAAATCTGATGCTGTCTTTCCCATGTATGATATATAGGGGCTATCTACAAGAAGATTAACGACCCAGACCCAATCCCAGACAAATGACTTAGAACGAACTATTCCTCATTGCTGGGGTTTAGGAGTTGAGACAACAGCAGTACATGCATCGAAATGAAACTTTATATCACACCAGGTAGAGCTGAAAATGAAGGAAGAAATTTGCTCCACTGAGTTTGATGAGACACGTACCTTGTTACATTATGGACAAGTACCCTGTTACATTACTGTCAGACATTATATGGCCCTCAGCAAAGAAAAGAGAGTCTGATGCTGCCTACTTATTTCCCTCTCAGGGAAAAAGCATTTACTATGACCTTGGATGCCAGGCCTCTTTTTGGCAAGTAGCAGTAGTGGTGAATGTGAACACATTCTCTCTACACACATTTTCAGGAGCTCAACCTATAAACTAAATGAAAATATATAAATTTACCTCCAGTTATTTTTCTGTTTGATTAACATTAAAAGGCTTCCATTTGATAGGCAGAAAAGAAAATACTAAACTTGTATTAGGAGCATAAATATAAGAGTTAATCTCTCAAAAAAAAATCAAACATACATTTTAACTAGAAAAACATGAGAAGATATGTCTTTCTGAATGATATGTAATGATTAAATTTAAATTCATGTCTCTAGAACTATGCAAAAACATGTGTCTTGAACATTTTAACCCAAATATTGGTTCAAAAATATTTCATGTTTTAATATTTAATTTGATTCAGATGGATCTCTTATTTTGGGTCTATAAAAGTGGAAAAAGCTGCAGGGTTTTTCTGGTTCAATAGCACAAAGGCATATTATTTCTGGTAAGAATATTATATTTACACATTCACAGGAATGACAAAGACAGAAGGATTCTGGAACAATTTACAATAAAGCTTGTCACTGATTTGGGTTTTGCCTGCCCCTCCACCCCTTAACTGCCAAGCATGATATTTCTTACCTTCACATTTTTGTGATGCTTCATTAAATTTGTGTCCAGCAGGGCATTTGCACTCAAAAGACCCAACAGTATTAATGCAATTTCCTCCCTGACAGAGCCCAGGGATGGCCTGGCATTCATCCACATCTGTCAGATTTTAGGAGAGAGAGAGGAGAGGGAGAGATCCATATAAGTCATTGCAGAAGAAAATGTGATAGTTTGTCTACAATTATATTACCATATTTATGTCAGTGAGTTATTCGTCCATCACAATATTTGGAATATGATGAGAGAAACTATTTCTCACAATTACTTTATGTAAAATAAATTACTTGAGTAACAAAACTTGGTCAATAATGTCTTATAAGAAGTCACAAATATTGTTAATTTTCCCACCTTCTGTCTTCCCTGGGTAAGGGGGAATATTTATACTGATTTTTGTGGGTTTTATTATGCATGCTGCAAATTATAGGGATACAATGATTAAAAGGCTGACAGCAATAACTAGAGTTATTCAAAAAAGCCTTAGGATCAAAATGCAACCCATTTCTATAATAAAACTGTCTCTAAGACTTATATTGAATGATTCAGTTAAAACAGAATTTACTTAAGATCACTCGGCCTACATGAGACAGTGAATGTTTTTATGCAAATGAAATGGGAAATGTTCACCCCCCATCCTGTAGAATTGGCTTGTGCAGTCAAAACTAAATAACCCAGGAACCTGGACTGAGAACTGAGAGACACCCCAGATGAATGCGCCGTCTCAGCTGCAGACTCAGCTTGCTGGCAGAGCAGCCAGCAGAGGGAACCTTTTTAAAGGTAAGTCAGAGTGTGTCCTTCCCAGCTCAAAACTCAAGCCCGTATCTTAGCAGATTCTATCTGCCCCCTCTACTCTCTGACCTCATCTCTGGCGTCCTCCCTCTCTCACTCCTCTCCTTCCACACTGGCTTCCTTGCCATTCCTTAAATATACCAAGGATGCAACTGCCTCGGGTTTTGTAGCAGTGACCCCTCTGCCTGGATTATTCTCCCTCCACAGAGCTGCATAAAGGTTCCTGTTGCCCCGTCCGTCAGGTCTCTGTTCCACTCTGGCAGTGGACCCTTCCCTGGCCCCCTGTCCTTCACCACCCTTCTTTGCTTCTTTTTTTCCATAGGCTGAATCACCAGCCAACCTGATAAATACTGGTTTGCTTTGTTTTGTTTCATAAATCCATTGTCTTTAATACAAATTTCAGAGGGCAGGTTCTTTGTTTTGTTCACGGCTGTATCCCTGGCACCTAATAACTATGGTCCCACATGTAGCCCCAAATAGGAACCTCCTAGGAACAAAAGTAATCATTCCAGGCTCATTATGTTCAGTTAGAAAGACTGTAAAAAATACATCATGTACATTCTTTCCATCTCTTCATATATAACACACAAAGGTCTAGTTTAATAAAGGAACCCCCGGGGTGGCAGTCTAAATTTTCTTTCTCTCACTTTGGATCTTCTTTTTGAAATCTGGAAACCTAGTATACTCTCTTGTTTTACTCTTCACTGTATGAAGCAAGAGGATGATCACCAATTTTAAGATCTCTAATAACATGTGCTCTTGAGAAAAGTCGGCATGAGGGAAAGGATACTAAAGGAGCAACAATTTATTTTGCTATAAAAGTGTCGCTGTTTTAAATGGAATGTCTTGGCCCACAAATGAATAGCTATATGTGAAGTATAATTAGATTATGTTTTACAGCTGATCTCAATTTTGTCTTAGACCAGAAGTTTCCATTCTCTTGATATGCCGAATAAGTTATTAAAATGTTATTTGAAATTGATGGTACATATAAACAAAACTTGATAGTCATGTTGGTCATAATTTTTGGCCAAGAGGTAATATATATGAGGGCACTTCTCTGCTGGCCATACCTTCCAAGACTGAAGACAGAATAACCTCCTTTATGAACCCATTTGCCCACAGCCCTTCACATCTGGCCCAAGGTCTGAAAACGCCAGCAAAGAGACAGAGCCCCAAGCCGAAAGCAGAATCCCTCGGGGGGGGGCGCGGGGGTGGGAACCACACACACACACAACCAAACATGATGAATTTCATTCTCAAAGTGGCAATATGACTGCCATTTTGATTTTGTGGGTTGCACAAAATTTCTGATAGAAATCTTTTCATTTTTTTTCTTGGATGTCTAATAGCAGAGTCAGGAAGGGACAGACAGGAAATGCTGGACAAGTCTAGACCATAGAAAATGCATAGTAAATCCACAGAGGAGTCGCTCTTCCCTCTCTCTTTTCATTCTCTGTCCCCCAATTCTCTTAGTGCCTCAACCTCTGACAAGGACTCATGGACACCATATCTGGCTTTCTGGTCTCTGTCGGTGTGTTCATGGGTAGTGGCTGGCTTCAGAACACCAAGACCAAGAATTTCTTCAAAACTCACTGGGACTTTCTAAGGATGAGAAAAAATAAAGAAGGTACCTAAGAAAGGGGGAACTAAACTTACTTTTTATTTTATAAAATCACACACTAGACCCCTCTGTAATTCCTTTGTTTCAAAGTGGCTTCTTGCTGCTCCTGACACTCAGAAGGACAAGTTGAAGGGCACATAAAGGAGCTGTATGTTATACACAGCAGTCGGGAGCCAGGACCAACAGTGCTTATCACAAGTGGAATTTGTGGAAGTATAATTTAATGGAGACCCACAGACCTGTGGGATTAAGCTCAAGTTCTGTTTTCCTGCATATTAGCCTTAGAATTAACATACAGAACAAAACTAGTATCTGCTTGCCTCAGAAAAGCATACCCTGAATTTTCTGAAAATATTGCAACTTGCTGAAAAAGCCCTGAAGATGTCTAAAGGAAACAGATACAGCCTGGGAGTTTTCAATCCCATCAGTTTAGTGCTGAACTGCCTCCGTTCACTTCCTCCTGTTTCCTGCCAGACATCCAGACAATAAAAGAATTTGTACAGCTGGAAGAACAGGAGTGAAAGCCAAAAACAGAGTAAGGGCTTCTATGGGAGGCAGGAGAAGAAGCGAGCAGGCGACATCTGGGGATATTTAAAACTGTGAAACAAATCTTAATTTATTTCTGACTTGTAAAAAAAAAAAAAAAAAGCATAATGTAGCATGTAGAATGGAGAGAGGAACAATTTTCTTGAGGTCAACTAAGTACAACCCATGAGACAGAGGAACTCCAACAGTATCAAATGAAGGAAAAAAACCTGGGAAAAACAGACCACCTTGTGCACAAATTTTGCTTAGTGTTTAAACACAGCATTGCTACAATGCACGGCATTGCTGCAAAGAGAATCCTACCACCCCCTAGAAACACCTCTGTGGGGGGAGGGGGAGCTGCGGGCAAGGAAAACTCCAGGGAGATGAGAGGCTCTCTCTTGAGCCACGCTCGTAATGCCTAAGTTGGATATCATGCCGTCAGCGAAATCGTGAAGCTATGTCTCTGACGCCGCTTTTCCATTCTCTCCAACTTCACTGCAGAATGGCTCTCCAGAGTAAATAAGATGAATCCATTAATAACTCCATCGGCCAGAGGTTTACCTTGACAGGCTCCCGTTCGGATATTTGGAATGAAGCCCCGGCGACAGGGGTGGGGCTGGGCAGGGCACATCTCACAGGGGTGGCCCCAGGCTCGGCCGACCGTGGCACAGCAGAGTGTTTTTGTGCAGACAATCCCGCTGAGCTGTCCCTGGCACATCTGGTTGCTGACCACAGTAAAACATGGGCCTGTCCTGTAATCTGAAAATAAAGAAGGAGAATTCCATGAAGGTCCAGAAAAGCAGGAACCATTAGGCAGAGGAACAGCTGTGCCCCATCCTGCTTGACTCCAAATTGGGAAAGAGTGTTCAGGGATAGAACTGCACATCGGTGACTCCGTGTGAAGCCTTGGGCAGACCATTCTACTGCTCACTTCCATGTTCCTCACCTAGGACACGGGGATAAAAACACCAGTTTCTACCCACTGTGAAGACACTGTTGTAAGGATCAAACACTTTACAACTGTGATGTCCTATACATACATAGCATTATGATATTAATATACATTCATTCACTCAAAAAAATGTATCAGTGCCTACTATGAATCGGCCCCTGTGCTTGATATAGATGTTTAAATGATTAAAATAGATCAAATCCCTGCCCTTATGGAGCTTACAGTCTATTATTATTCAGGCTGGAGAAAGCAAAACATTTCAAAATTTGCAATGAGGCAAGTCATGGCACCTTCTTCCTGGGAGTTCCTTGAACAGAAGAAATGGGTTACTCATTTCTTTTGGATTGGGTCCATCTTATTTCAAATACAAAAAACAAGCAAGCAACAAATAAGTAAGCATTTTAAAATATTTGCCCATGCAAAGACATTAGGTATTTAAGATAAAGAGTAAGGACATTGGTCTGAAATCATTGTAACCCTTGGGCAAAAGTCCATCTTCAAGTAGACAGTGAAAAGTGAAGGCCACAGGAGAATTTCCAAGTACTCTCACTGGATACAAAAATCTGCCTCCGTTTTTGTTCTGTTCTGTTTCGTTTTGCTAAAAGGAGAAAGTCAATCTGGATTCAGCAGCCAAAAAACAAGAAAAATTAACATGTAGTGAGCACAGAGGACCAAAGTCAGACTGTCCTCAGTCTCCCTATGAGAGAAATTGAGACCATAATATCCCTTTCTGTTCTACAGTGACCTTGACAGATAAGGGAGGCTGAGTTGTGGCAAGACCCATGGGCTTCTACCCACTACCCAAAACTGCATGCTCCCCTATGTCATTTTCAGAAGTGCATAGTGTTTCCTGTGAGCCCAGGGATGCAGTAGATAAATAATAAATAACTCCAGTAAGTTCCTTTCACCACTGAATTCTACAGTTTATGAAAATCACTGTGTGTGCTGATAAAACCTCTGGGTTAGGTTTTCACTTTTCTTTTCTTCTTTCTTTCTCTAGGTAGGTAGGCATGCCTCTGTTCTGTGTATTCTCTCCTGCTTTCTCTGTTGCAGTTATGACCCCAGCGACTCCCTATCACTAAATGTTCTTCTTCACTCTCCCTTCTATCTGGCTGGAATGAGCCATCTGTGCTCAATGGCACCATCCTAATGCCCATGTTGCCCTAATGTCCATGTGGAAAGACGAGCCTTCCGAGGAGTTCCTAAAACAAAACATCACCCAGTCAAGTTCAGCAAGAGGACTACGCCCAAATTATGGTAGCACTTGAGAGATGGACAGGGTGGACAAAAAGTCAAGTCCCCATCTCCACATCGCCCTTTCCATGCAAGTGCTTGCCAAAGTGTGCTATGTGTATCGCTGATGGGATGCAAGATGGCTTTAGACTGTGAGGCTTTAATAGTCATTTATCAATTCTAATTTGTATTATTAAAAAGTATAACCTTAACAGACTCATGATTTCACATATATGTTTGCTATGATTAGGATGAATTTTAAAAGTTTAATTCAATTTAAAGAAAAATATTAAGTAAACTCTAGTACAGGACACACAAACAGGCCAAAAATTTGTTTAGATTGTACGTAAACTCCACCAGTGTTACCATTCAAAAAGACTAACCTCACACCTTTCTTCCCCTCAAGTCTCTAATGTTCTGGCCCCACCCATCTTTCCAGCCTCATCTTGTCGCTTCCTCAGTTTAGTGTCTTTTTACTTTGTTCATACATTCTTTTTTTTACCCTACTGATTATTTTCCAGTTTTATGTAGCCAAATTCTAGGTATATTTTAATATTTAATATTTTTCATAGTATGCCAGATCTATTCAAAATCTGCTATCTTCTTCCATAGAATTGAATTTGAACAAGAATACAAAAATTAAATGCTGTTGAATAAGATCTCTGCCCTCATTTCATTCTGTCAATAAAGAAAAATGACAGCACCATGACAGTTCACAGCAAAAGTGCTCTTAAAGGCAGTAAACACATGGACAAAGTCAAAGGCTGCAATCGTTCATTATTTGGCTCAATTCTTCCAAATATTACCTGTAGGCATTTAATAAATACTTCTCTAACATATGGCATTTCTTTTCTATTTTAACACTTTGTTGTATATTTTTGAAATTCGAAAATAAAAAATTATTTCAGACAATTAGGAAAAGGTAGCAACATAAGAAAATAAAAATCACATGTAATTGCAGCTAAAGAAATCTTTGATACACATTGGTTATATTATCTTAACCTAATTTTACATGTGTTTTTTTCTTCCTCACGAAATAGGAACTATATTAAATCTGTAATTTTGAATCTTAACATTGCCAAAAGCATTTTCCCATGTAACTACTATTCCAAAATATGATTTTATTTGCTACATTAATGGATGTACATGATGGATAATTTTCCATCAAGTTATAACAATTTATTCAATAATTTTCTTACTGTGTATCATTTAAATTGCTTCCAATCCTTCATTATTACATACAACGTTCACCATACATTACTGATGAACTCCTTGAGGATGAAAAATGTTTAGTCTCATGCAACTACCACCAAGATTTTTATAACTACATATGCATATTTTACTTCTGAGACTAGAAAGAACACAGCAACATAATCTTTTATTTAAAAAATAAATAAAACCTTCTGTGTTAGGTAACAAGGAAAGAAATTTAAGTTTGTTTCTTCTCTTAATTTACGGAGATAAGTACAAATGCTTGAATCAAACAGATTCATGGTGACATGACATTTTCAATCTTTAAAAAACATAATGGAACATGAATTTGAATTTACAATCCTCTCTTTGACACTGCTTGGATTTGGTTTTGCTGCTCACTTTGTCAAGATAACCTACAGAAAATATCTTATAGAGGAGGATCGCAAAGATACAGGGGTGCAAACGCGTGTTTTGAGATTGACACCAGCAAAATCAAGGCACACTACGAAATACTAAGACAATCTGATTCAGTCCTGCCTGACACTGCCTCATGACTTCAGACATGAATTCCTCATTGGAAGACCCTCATAAAAAGAAAATAATCCTTAGACTTTTCCAGGGTCAACAACTTCTTACTCTCATTTCAATATGAAACGCATGGAATAGAAATGGCAACTGTTAATTCTGACAATTTTCATTAGGCATCTCTAGAGCGCACAGGGACCCATCTTTATTAAATATACTGGATATCTGGCAAATAGTTGGAGTATGTATAACAGAATCTATAGACTTGACACATTTCTACACTAAATACTTAACATTATGGACAAAGAACCAAACCATTTGACAGTGCAGATTAGTAAGTGGACATAAAATGTATCTGTAGGACACATTTTCAATAAAAATTGCTGAGTGCCGAGGGAGAGGCATAATCTGGATGAAATAGAATTGGATCTAAAAATTTCTTGGAAGGTAAATGCTCTATTAACGTGGTTTTCAAATGTCATTCTGATTTGGCAGCATGTCCTTTCTGTCTTGTGTTTCATTTAGATTGCCAAAGTTATGCTGTTTTTTGTCCAATAGTTGAACCACAGAAAAAAAATCTGCCCACACTCCTAGTTCCTTACTAATAATCCAATTATTTACAATTATTCCCATAGCACTTATGTGATACTAGGCTAAATTTGCATATTCTTTTTTTTTTTTTTTTTCCACAGAGTCCCAGCACGAGACATGGAATGTGCCTAATTCAATGCTTGGGTAATGTCTGACTCACTCCCTCAATGTAAATCATTACTCCTAATTCAACTAAAATATAGTATTAAAAACACTTCCTGTTTGCAAACTGCTCCACAATCACTTCCTTATAAGACCTCCATGAACTAGGGCAAGAGGCCAAGTCTTTCCCAAATTAAAATGCAATTTTAATTGTTCTTAACTGGCTTACTTTAGTGTGCCTTGTTCATGGGAAATTTGGGGTCTACATGTTCCCATTCTGACTGGTGAGGGGCTCCAGGACTCTTCCACAGTCCCCACAGATTTAGCCTCAAGACAGGATCTAACCAACATGTATGTGTAGCTTCGGATCCTCGGTCCCTTCCCAGATCTGCAGCTCAGAATGCTGTGACCCACAGTGTTACTTCACTTTCATTTGTAATCAGACTTCACCCTGAAGCAAATGCATCATGCACAGAGAAAGAATATTCTGTGGTACAATGAAATCTTGTCACTCCTGCCCAGTCCCTAAACCACAAACTGCAGAGAAGGCACAAGGATATAATTTGGGGCAGTAGGCTCCAATTATTTTAAATCCTTCTTTTCATAAAAATAACAAAAAAAAGAATGAGATATCAATTTATCCATGACAGGGTCACAGCATGCTTCTTCCTTTCAGGTAGGTTGGCCTGGGACGCATTAGACTCCTAACGTGGGGAATTTCAATACAACCTCCTGAGGGAAGAGTTCAGAGAACTTTTAGTCTGAGGACAATTAAAGCAAAGAAGTTCCATGATCATAATTAGTCTCATAACTGCTGCCATTTCTTCTCACTCCAATTATTCTTAACCTCAGGACATAACCAAATCACCTGGGGAAGTTTTGCAAAATGCTAATGCCTGGGCCTCACCCCTGTCCTCCCACAGCCCCTCTCCCTCTCTCTCCCACTCCCATCCCCTGGAATCCAATTCAGTATATGTGGCATGGGGCCTGGGCGTCTGTCTTTTGCAAAAGCCCCCCAAAGTGATTTTGCCCTCTAGAGCTCTAAGTTCAATCTCTCTCTCAACTTTATTGAAAAGTGCTTATGTTCCATTATTAATTGGTGGTGTCTGCAAGAGAGCTGGCTGCTTACGTGAAGCTCTAACCTTAGAAATGTGAGAAAGCC